CTGTTACCTGAACTAGAATGGTGATTTATTTTATAATCTTTTATAACCTTAATTGTCGAGGGTAATCTTTATAAAAAAGAAATTGAGTTATTTTTAGATATAATAGTTATTTTTTGTCGTTGATAAACACAAAAACAAACACGTGACTGACGTGAAAAAGCATTCACTCGTCTATTGGCGCTTTATCAGTCATCCCCTTCTTTATTCTTTTTGCTCTAATTAACATAACTATCGAGATTCATCGGAAATTTTTATAAAAATTCTTAATTTGTCTACCGAAAATCTGCAAGAATTATCTTCTTACCCCAGCCATTCAAAGTGGATTTTTGAGTTATCACGCGTGTAAAAAATATTGTTGATAGAGTAGCGTAAGTATAGATACAAGATAATGTTTAGCTGCTAGTACCAAAATACGCGAAAAATCCCCAAGGTGATGTGTAAAACTCACTTCGGTTGTAAGGAAAATAACATTTTATGAGTCTTTGGGAACATTTGGCAGCGATATCGTCGGCTGGTCCACTTCTTTCGATCCTCCTTTATGTTCGACTTAGAGATATAATGTGATGTTTTATTAATGTCGTGAGGATTTTAATTGTTCAGTTCTGTTTTAAAAATAGTATAATCTATAAAAGCTTTCGTCTACCCATCGAAAAGAATAGCTAAACGTTTAACAAACAACTATCTGGAAGTTTCGTAGCAAAGACAAAAGTGGAAAATAATTATCGCTCTTCAGCATTTTCTGCATCTCGGAGGAAATCCAACAGATAAATGCGGAGAGAGAAAGAGAGAAAGAGACGAAGCGAACGATTGAAACGTGTTTCTTATGCGATATAACAGACACACGAACGTCTGAATGGCTCGATTGTTTCGTTTCTTAAGAATACACCTGGAATTTAAAACGTGGATAATAATAATCTTTAACCGAAGCTAAGTCAAGGTTGCGAGATGTTGTCCTCTTCTCCTCCATCCAGACGATATGCATAGAAGGAACAGCTGTGAAACTGGCTGCTGAAATCCTCTTAGTAACTATGGCAACAGGTGCAGTGGGACATTGGGTCTCGTATCGGCATCAAGTCAGGCAGCGTTTTTCGTCACGGCTGAAAGATCCGCGAACATTAACACTCCCGAGTTGGGAATCAGATAGAAATTTCTCCCAAGCATCTCGTCCCTCGATAGTAATAAGGGTGTGAATTTAAAAGCTCCATCCCCTTTCTCTCGCAGGCTTCTTTAATTTCCTGTATCTGGTGCCTCTCCCTCTTCTTCTCCACTTTCTCCTACAGGAGTCCATCCATTAGAAAAGATCTCGCATTCCTTCGCTCCCATAATATACAACTAAAAATTTATCCCAAGGGTATAGAGAACAATCGTAAACCCTTCTCGAAAGGGCTCCTTTTAATATTTTCTTAATTCACTCCTTCTCATCTAAAGAAAGTGTTCCTGAGTTAAAAATTAAAGGCAAAAACACATCTCGCCATCTACTCCTTACAAAATTAAGGTCAATTCTGACTCGGGCAGTTCCGCAGCCATCTTAATTCTTAACATTTTTTCCTCTTTGACTCGTCTCTTAAATGGCGCCATTAAAGAGAACTTTGCCTCATTACAATATATCTCTTACAGATATTTATTTATTTTTTTTTCTGAGTAAACAAAACTTCTTTAACTAAAAATTTAATATAAAACTAGCAAAGAGAACACGGCGGATGGATAGAATCAAACAGTATTTATATTAACACTTGCTGTATATATTATCCGACTGCTGATTGGAGAGACGAAAGGAGCATAATTGGAATGTGACAGATGTTTATCGTATTAATACTTCTCTATCGAGTGCTTCCACTAATAACACGCTTGCTTCTACATTATCCGAACCAAATCCTTCCTATATAACTTTCTAATCCGTTGTAAATTTAAAATATNGCATTATCTTCATATAAAAAACCCCGTAGAAAATTTTTAAAAAATCGAAAATATTTAATTTAAATATAAATAAGAGTTTTTTGAGTAATTGTAGACACTTCTGAATAGTATTGAGTAAACAAAGCAAGAATAAGAAAAGAATGTTGCACTTTCTTCTCTAAAAAAAAGCGTCAAAGAAATGGAGAAGAAAGTCGAATTAAATTTAGTTTTATGTATTAACAATAATATATCCTAACAATAATTTTATGAGACAATATAGTTATTTAAAGAAAGCCGAAAAACAATTTTCGTAATTCATTTTCTATGCTTTAAAAATGTCGTGATATTAATTTTTTACACGCGGTTTACTTGTCATGCAATACGTACTCATCAAATAATAAATAAAAAAAAACGTTTATCACTACTTCTATTGTATTTTTTAATATGAAGAGTTTGTCTATTGTTCAACTTACAAAACGCTATTAATGTATTTTAGCAATACCAGTAGTGTGTGTGTGTGTACTATTGTTGCAGAATGATTAGCGTAGGCAAACATATATACAGCTGAACTCGGACCCCAAATGGGGTCAAGCGTGACACTTACCCGGGGCCAAATAATTAGTATGAGCTACCGACGTTATCACTATGGCAACTAAGGTAACGATACGGCATTCAAACATGGAGAATCGTGAGATAATTCGTACTGATAATGAATATCGCAACTGAACAAAATCGTTTCGTTTCTTGGTACCGAGAAAATAGAATAAAATAAAAATCTCATTAAATGAGATATTGTGGTTGAAATTGATTTTTATTAACATTCAAACGAAAGAATAATAATACAAAATAAAAAAATAAAAAAATCTTCTCACTCTCCACTTGGCTCCATCTTTTGATAAAAAACTTAACTATATTATTACATAAATTATTATAGTGTTTTAATTAGTAAAACGTAGAAAATTCTGTACTTTAATTCGATTGTTGTGCCCTTTCTAGTTGTTTTTCAGTAGCGAGTTAACCCACATCAGCTAACCGCATCCGCATCCCCCCGGGCATTGAGTATGACTTGGCTTAAACGATGTTAAAGAGAAAACTTGGTTAATTATAAACATTTGCTATTACGTCATATGCTTTAATCATTTTATATTGTTACCTCATCTGGCATTGTTAAATTTCAGCAATGCAAGATGACGTAACAATAACAGATGTTTATCGGAAATGACGTTTTAGAATTTAAATTTTGCATTGTTATATAAACAATAACGTGGCATTTAATAATTTAAAATTTACATTTTACACATCATTTACGTTTATTATCTTACATTGTTACGTCATCTCAAATTAGAAATAAACGTTTAAATCTGATATAGCTTAATTATTAAATTGGTTTATTAATACTGACGTTTACTTCCCCAATTTAGAGTAAAGAAAAGCTGTGTAAACCCGAGTTTAAATTAGAAAATGGTAAATATACACACCTCAAAATATAAAATACGTTTATTTTTTTATACCCATCTTTTCTCATTCAATCAATAGCTAATGATATGTATAATTCATTGGGGTGTAAGTGAAATGAGTCATGTTAAAAGGATGAAAAAGGTTTAATATATCTATAATATTGAAATTAATTTATGCTTTAATTAATTCCACTTTTATCTAAAGTTAACACACAGAAAACATAACATCAGATTTCAAATCAAGTTTTATTTTTTCTATCTGAGAATTAGGTTATTTAGGAGCCGATTGTATGTCCTCGTTAGATCAAAGACCGCTATCGTAAAATTTTATGACGTCTTCACTCACCCTTACCTTACTATAAACCCTTTTTTTTTTAAAGGTCTATATCATGCCATCTTGTTACAAAAACCTTTTCCTCGTCTAAATATATAGTTTAAATGCAATAAACCTTCATCAAATACCTGTAAAAATATTTAAAATTGTTTATTATCTTAAACAAAAGTGAAATTTTTAGTCGAACTTATCTTAAAAAGTTATCAATAAAAATCAGCTGATTACTATAGCAACTGTTGCTATGTTATTGATTAATTTCGTTACCATGGTGACGTTTATTAAAATTAACATATTTTTGTTTGTTATATAGGCCGACGAATTCTCTGTCGCTATAGAAACGTATCAATTTCAACGTCGCTATGAAAACTGTTCTCATGGTAACGGTTTTCATAGCAACGTGGAAATTGATAAGCATCCGTTGCCAAGTGAAATTAAAATGTTTCCATAGCAACAACGATTTTTTAAATAAAGGAAAAAACGTCTATAATAAATTAACAGCTGCTTAATTTATTAAATAGATTGCGTCTTTACAACATTAACAAAATTATTTCATGTCGAAACCCTTGACCTAACGGCATTACTATCGTTTCGAATCTATTTTATTCCCAGAACTGAACCTTGAAGCCGAAGAAACAATGCATGGACATCGTCCAACCCGGAATAAGTAGAACCAGATAAGTGGACTCGTAATAAATTTTATGTCGAGTTAAGTTTAAATTCGTGATATAAAAACATTTAAACTTTTAATTAAAAATTCATAACCAGTTCCCGTTATATAAGGGCTAAATTTTTTCTCTCAAAACTTTTAATTTTATAGAAAAATTCTTTAAAAAAAAAAAATTAATCGAATGTTTTGCCTGGCGTGCCATCTGGCGGAGATGTTTGTAACTACGACAGAAAATAAAGTTTTGAGTTGGTAACATTAAACTGTTTCGGAGAATACCGCGACATCTAGTGTCGAATATTTGTATTATTAGAAAATTACAAAAAAACATGATTTTCAACTTTTTTTATTATCATCATCGCAAGAATTATCTGTTAGCATAAAAACAATATTCCAACTTATATATATTATTATATATATATATATACATACATAAAATATATATATGTATATATACTTAAAAAAAAACAAAAATTCCTGTACAAAAGTGGTAAGAAGAGGAAAGATAGGAGTTAGAAAAATGATTTTCTAAAAATTCTTAGAAAACGCGACCCATTATTTGCGCACCACTATTCTAGAGCAACCCAGTCACATAGTATAAGTAAGCGATTGATAACCGAGCACTCTTTCTTATTATAGGCAAATTCTTGTAAAAAATTGCAGAATAATCCTTAAATTTCTATTAAAGAAATTTTCATTTTTTTGAATTTATCATTCTATTTGATATTGCAAACATAACTGACGTCACTCAGTACCACGTGCTTAAGCGAGTGCGTTACCTAAAGAGGTGATGATATTCAAAGACATCGAATTACGTTACAAGAGTTAAGATTGGTTAATTGTAAACATCACGTTATTTACGTTAACGCATCATTAACGTAAATTTAACAATTCATCACCAGCCCAATAAATATTAACTCTTTACAAACAGAACAATTTTCTTTTTAACTTTTCTTTTCACGAAAAAAATTCTTTTCAATTATAATTATAATAATAATAATTTTTAAAAAGATAACAATGCGTTACGTTTGTTGATGATTATCTTAAAATTTTACAAAACTTTATGAATATATATTTATATATTTATATTTTTTTTTTGTATAACAGAATATAAATTAACCGTATACATTAATACCATAATCACCTATGAAACTTTTAAGAATTGCGGATTTTTTTTCGTTCTTAGTTTATAGATTTTCAAAATACTGGATGAAAAATGCCTACCTAACGTCTTGGCATATATTAAATAACGAGGTTCTTCAAAAAAGAAATGTTATTTATCATGTTTTTCTCGATACGTTTATGAGGTATTTGCAGCAATGAGTGAGAAGTTGTCGATCGGGTGCACCGTTACTTATGTTAATATCACGCGTGTATATGTCCATACCGTATTGTCCATCTTCTGGGAATGTTATGCGAAAGGTTACGATGTCGCCTTCGGTGTGGTGCGTGACGTAACGTGACAATTTCCTCTCTTCCACCCCGTTCTTATGTAAGGTGGCCATAAAATCGGTTAGATGTCGAGTTAAACGGAATTGTATCTCCATATCTCTTCCCGAAAAAACTAGCGTATCCGAGTGGGTGAGAGGCACCATGCCAAATAACCTGGTTGCTTTAGTTGGTCCCCATTCTCCGCTAGCACAATCGGGTAGTGGCACCATTACCGTTTGAAGATCCTTACAGGTTACTTTAAACTTGCAAACGCTCTTGAATTTCATGGGTTCTCCCGTCAGATATTCCCTTGGTGTGACTGCATTAGCGAATATATCGAGTAGAAGATCTCCGGGTGAGGGAGCGTGTACTCGAAAAGTCACTACGTGGCCCGCTACGGATTGCATGACGAACCTCTTTAAACTAACACCATCATGGTTATCCGAATCTGTGTGGTAAAATTTCAGATTGTAATGGAAGATCAAACTGGGTGCCATATTGGGTGGCATTCCGATTCGTACAGTAGCAGCTCCTGTACTGTCCGTGTATAGTACCGCAGTGACGTTTGAATCGGGAAAGTATAAGCCGTATCGAAAAAACAATGATCTCACAAAGGGCAATTCTTCAAATTCCTTAAGAGATAGAGGGTGCTCCAGCAACTGCCATTCGGGTGATTGTGGATAAAACTCGTATATGAACTCTTTAGGATCAGTTAGAAAGTAATGATCGTCGTATTCATATCTTAAACTATCTGATTTCCCTTTACTTCCGGGCTTGGGGACCTCCTTGGCATTTACCAAATGTCGAGCACCCCAATTGCATTGCACAAATCTCCAAGAACCAGCTAGGAAAACGGCATTCCACGAATTTCGAAACCGGCTGTCCTCAAAACGTATACCAGGTTGATAACCCGCACTTTTCGAATAACCTTTGATGACAACACAATGTAACCCGGTATAACTGAAAGTAAATATTACGTGAATGTGAGATATTTTGTAACTTTATCTTAAAATTCGTAAATTAAACCATATCTTAGCTCTTCTAACCTGCAAAGGCGCTTGAAAAGCACGTGATAGCTTTCTGTGCCATGCTTTATCCCTCGAAGAATTCCCATAGGAGTGTCAGCATTGACGTTATCATCAAACTGCATCGTATTTAAATTTTTAACTGTAATCCATCTAAACAGGGTCCTGAAAAAAGATACATATTAAAGCATACAGTAACTTATATTATTAAAAATATATATATATTTTTAAGATAAAATAAATGACCTAGCTTTCTCTACATCGGTAACGCAACTTTCTGTCAATTGGCGTACAAGATCAGTAAAAGATTGCTGATCTTCTTGAGCCACCTGTTATCAAGAAACCAGTCAAGATAGTTTTATAACCTATTTTTTTCATAAAATAGGGCATAGGGCATTATTAAATTCACTTACATTGATAGCAATTTGATCTAATTCCGCGAAGACGCTAGGATCACTGTAAATTTCAACTTTTGATACAACTGTTGGGATTGGTGGAGGAGGAAACAGAGGATAAGGAGCCAATTCGGTATTTTGATGGCCATTATTTTCGGGACTTTCGGTCTATAAAACGTGTAGTAATTTTGTATTTAAAGTGTTTAATCCCCACAAAATTTATTTTTAATTTTTTAATACTCACAGCAGTTAACTCTAATCTCTTGTTATTGATTAGATTGAGCATTTCAATGCTGTGTTTATCGACTAACTCAGCGGTTGCTGCTCTTTCTTGTTCTAACAATTTTCTCGTTAAACATTCTTTTTTCTTATCTAATTTAATAGTCATATTTCTTTCCAAATCGTCCTTTTCTTTCTGAAGACGGATGGTGAGAGCCTTCTCATCTTCACCAGATATTTTCTTCTTGTTAGTCTTTAATTCTTTATGAAATTTACTTGTTAATCTCTCAAGCTCTTTCTCCCATTCTTCCTGTAATTTAGATTATGATAATGATGATGATTACAAGCAATTAAAAATTAAATTAAACTAAATTAAAGAAAATTATCATTTTTACTTTAATTTCTTGGTTGATGTGGATTTCTTCTTCCGCTCTTTTCTGAGCAAATTGCTGATAAAGGGCATCCTCTTCTATTCTGTGTCTCATTTCTAAAGTTTTTTGCGTTTCCGGATCCTAAATTTTTATTTAATTTACTCGAATTACAGGACAATTTTTACCAATATTTTTAAAAATTAATACATTAAAAATGAATTTATATATTTATTTGTTTGATGATGATAATATTTTAAAATAATAAATAAATAAATAAAAATCTAGAATTGCATCACGCCTACATTCCAGTAGACTAGAATGAGGAAAAATAACTTAGAACCTGTTCATAAATTTTATAGAAAAATTAACAATTTTTGGCCATACTTCATAAATGTCGTGCCATCTAGTGAGGAAAATTATAATTTCTAAGAATTAATTTTTATTAAATTTTTAATAATTTATATTTGTCTTACTGGACAAGATTGGTCAGAATTACAAGGTTAGTATGGGATATAGTTAAGTCCTGTATATATACAAATATACATATGAGGATACAGGTTATCATAAATTGGGTCAGTGTGCCAAGATGAGATGGCTTCTATCCAAGAGGCCTACCTATATCGGTCATTGTCAACAAAGAGTCAACTATGTAACACAGAAATATTTGTAGATATATATTTTTTTCTTATTTTCTTGAATAATTTAACTTGTTTACGTACTTCGCTAATTCTAGAAGAAAATGAAATACTTTTCTAGTAAAAATTTAAGGCGAAAGAGGCGATATTATTACGAAATTTCTCGATTGTGGTGCGCGTTATACGACGAACGAACGCCTTCCTACCCCAAACTGCAAATTTAGTTTAGGCCAAAGACCTTGTTTATCGATCGGTCCTGGTCGATAGCCATGTCTTCAGTCGTAACTACTCACAAACCTACTCCTTCCGGGGAGGGAGGGAAAAATATTTTCGTAACATCCGGCATATTAAACATTTTATTAACGTTACGGCATTTCTAGTAACATCATCCGAGATTGTCTTCACCCCGAGCTGTACCCAATTGTTACCAGGTCACACAGAAATGGGATATGGGGCGTCGCGCAAGGCGAGTGTCACAAAGTTAAAGGTCAATAATTAACTGTTAAAACATTAGCATAACAACAAATACTAAACATTTTTGAAATATTTTATACTTTATATAATGTTGTTACGCTCAAATATTGATTATTATTTCGTTTTAAATAGAAATTTATGCATTTTTTAAAACTGGAAATAAATAAATTTAAATTTCGGGATTTCAGATGCACTCAGAATATTCTGCAGCATTATCCGCGTGATATTTCGCGCCCTTATCTTAAAATAATCTCTTTAGATCAGATTAAAAATAAAGTTCAAATGTATATCCTATATCAAAAGATATATAGACTCATCAGGATGCAATCTATACTTTATCACATCTCAATTTTTATACTGTTAATACATTGTCATGACAAAAAGTGTGATCCTGTGACGTCCCATTTATGAAGGGCCTGGGATGCAAAAGACAAGAAACCGGAACTGCCCTTATTATAGACAATAGGTTCTATCATAAGACATCTTATATACATTAACCCTCAGCTTAAATTTCACGCTCCGTGCATACAAAGGGCACAGTCGTGTCTCTATAAACATACCATGATATATTATACAAGTATAATTAATAATTAGATTAAGGGCCAGGTTTAAAATAAGCCCAAAGTTATGTTGTATTAGACCACATACATTAGAACTTGTGCTTTTAAGTGTTCTAATTTTAGTGTAGGAATTTTGTTAGGGCAGTTTGATTTAGAGTAGGTCAGAATATTTCATAAACCAGGCGCTAAAAAAATGTATAATAATTTAAATAATTTTTGTATAGCCTATATAATAGGATTTAAAACTTAAATTGTTCCTGTAAATATACAGGATTAGTTTGAGTTTAAATCAATAGAAAGTGTAAATATCTCTTGCCTCATTTAACGCTTTTAAAGTACAAAATGAGGTAAAAGACAGTAAAATTTTGGTTAAATTATTTTTAAAATTTCCGCGTGGTCGAATAAGGAAGGAATCTATTTATTCAACCGAGCGAAAAATTAGTAAATAAATTTGTTTTTATTAGCAAAATATAATCATTTTTAAAGCGAGATACTTTCAATCTTACAGAATCAAACGAAACAGAAAATAAATAAATAATGGAAAAAAAAAGAAATGCACTCACCAAATATTCATCGATTTTTCGTTCGTATCCATTACTCCTCCTCAACTTGGTAGCATTTAAACCATGTGCTATGTGTAAGGCGGTGGCATCGAATTTACCAGCCAAATTTTCTCGATGTCTGTTCTCTAGATCGCTGATTTTGGGAGAGGTCAAGGCACTTTTGATCCCGAGTGCCCCAGCATCGAACGTACCCTTACCAGAACCTCTAATCTGATCGTTGACCAGATGATTAGTTTTAGGTACGTTAAGAGCAGCTTTGATACCCACAGAGAATCCATCCAAATGTCCAGGTCCAGTTTTTGGAACGTGAACTTGACAATAAACCTCCTTGTCCTCTTGCGACTGCTGATTGTTGAAGTATGTACGCAGAGTTAGTTTCGTTCCACATATCAAACACTTGAAACATCCGTGGTGGAAGTACGTTAGATCCTTAAGAGGACCGACTTTATCCACCTGATAGACTATAGAGCCACATCTTAAACATGGTATCTCGTGAGCGTTCATTTTAGCCTTCTACTCTGATCGAATACACTGCAGCCATTTTGCCTTCAACCTGTTCCTGATGCCACGGAACGACTCTTTGCATGGCTAGCTGTGTGACGTCATCTACCTGTACCCCAGTCTAGATTCGATCGGGGAGACGTTTTCGCTCGTTCTTTTTGCATCGTCGGAATGAGGTAAACGTTTTATATATTTGATTTTGTTTTAATTTAAATTTCGTTCCCCTTTTTCCGTTTTTAAATTTAAAAATAAACAGAAAAAAAATTTACTCTTCCGGCTTTACGTCATCACCATAATTACCATTATTGAGACTAATTCTGACGTCACGTTCCCAATACAGACTAACAGATACGTGACGTCATTACTCCATAAAATTTAAATCCCGTTCTTTCCTTAGACTTCAATGAGATTTTAAGGAGAAGAAAAAAAATACTTTTTTCCTGTACAAATTTAGGAAACTTTAATTATAATTCGCGACTTAAATGGTGCACGAAACGAAACTTAAAAATAAAAATTTAACAGCTTAGTAATTTTAACATTAAACGATGCTTGAAAACTCATAAAATATTTATTGCGTGGAAGGATAAAAGTATTATATGGTGTCTGTATCTAGAGATGAGCTTCTCCTGTAAGTTAACTTCACTGCAAAGTTAAATTCTTTGATTATTCTCATAGCGGAAACTAAACTTTTACTCATCACGTTAAGGTTTATAGAGGTCAAAAAGTCATCATTAAAAATGCTAAACAATCGATATCTGATGATTAATACTGCTCCATGTTATTATTATCATGTTTTTTTTTTTTAATTTAAGAAAAGGGTCATTCACATGTCCTGATTCTTGTATGTGCAAAGGAATTTAACGTGTTCCTTTTAAGTCTCCACATTTCAAACAATGTTTATAGGTTAAATTGTCTGTCAGAAACATTGAATGAAGTTGAATAGGGGAGTAGAAACGGGTCAAGAAATTGTTTACATTAACAAAAGTAAAGGGAAAGAAAAATAAAAAAAATATATTTTAATTAAAAAAAATCATTGGACTAATTTTGTGTTTAAAAAAAAGGAGAAAAATGCATATTTTATAATTTGTTTTTTTTATGTGTAGCTTTATAATAAATATGTATGGTGATATTAAGATATTATTTATTTAAATTGGAGTAAAAGTTTTGATGTGTTGGTTGATTATTGTGGAAGTTGTGAATAATTTAATTTAATAATTTTAAATTTAACTACTTAAAATTATTTATTAATAAAATAATTGTCCTATAAGTATTAAAGAGATTCAAAATTATTATAAATTTGTTTGGATTTCAATATTTATTTAATTTGAATTTGTATTATACAGTTTTTAATGTTGTGATGTTATTTTTGCTTTTGTTGCATGTGATCGAATGATTGATAAATCAATTTGAATTTTATGGTTTTTTAATAACAACAATTACAACAATGAAATTTTATATATAAGCAACTTTATTCACATCAGTCAAGTCACACTACAGGTCTACATACAAGTCCACAGTGACATCTGACTGTTTTTCGAAGGCAAACAGGTTTGTAGTTCCCTCAGGTCGTGGGATACAATGATAAATCACAAATTTTTGAATGTTGTAGTTTGATACTTCTAGAAACCTGCTTGTCTCCCAATAAAAGCTTTGTTTTCTTTTTTTTTTATTTATTTATCGAGGGGGACAAAAGCTACAAAAAAAAAAATACTCTATAAGTTGGAAAGACATGTACACAACCTTGTAGACAGAATAAAATATTTTAGGCTCTTGGGATAGATAAACATATATTGATAATTGTCCCCCTTATTGGTCATTTAATAAATTTTTGCAAATTTCAAACATAAATGATTGTAACTGCTCCCAAACATATAACATATAATGACAGATTCCAAGATTTTTACAAATTGAGAAACAACAAAAAATGATGTCAGCATGCTCTTGAAATAATTCTTGGGAAATTAGCAAATGTGAGTGGCTGACCATTATTTTATTTTTCATCCTGAAAAATTTTTTAAATAGAATTATTTATTAAATATTTTATGAAATTATACTAATGATTGCATAATTTCATACCTTACATAGACTAGAATTACACTCAGACGTCCCCTTCCGTTAGAACATTTAACGAGAATGTTGCGGCACATTCATCTTTTCCATCAGATACCACTAAGGTGTACTGACCAATATTTGTGTCGATAGCATTAGGTATGGTAAGGGAACATTTTCGACCTTTGTGACTAAACTGATGGTGGGTACTACTTGTATCTATTGGGTTACCATCTTTCATCCAAGTTACTGCAGAAAGAAAATATTTATATATATAGATATAAAATTGATATGGTTGAAATAAAAATTAGTCTAACCTTTCTTAGCATCTTTTTCAGTTTCAGCTGAAAATGTCACTGATTGTCCTTTGTGAATTGTCACAGATTCAGGAAACTTTACAAAACCTGGTCCTTTAACTGGTTCATTGGGTACTATATAACAATACAAAAGTATTGTTTATGGTTTCAATAAAGAATATAATATAATAATTTTCAGTATGCTTGCATTAATAATTAAATGACCACATACCTGTTACAATTAATGTACAACTACTAAATGCATCTCCAACATCATTAAATGCCTCACAAGTATAAATTCCTCCATCTTCAGGAAAAATTTCTCCTATTATTAGTTTATAAGCATCTCCTTCTGTTTTATATTGGAAGTCGTTACTAGGTTTAATTTCTCTGTCATTATGAAGCCAAACCACATCAAATGTGTTTGGACCTGAAATATATAATTTTTCTGTTAAAAAATATTCTAGGGAACAAACAAAAAAAAAATTAAATCAAAAATATTTGACTAACATGTAATTGTGCATTGTAAAGTTACTGAATCCCCATCTTTAACTACCATACTCTTTAGATGTTGTGATATTCTTGGAGGCTTGAATCCAGCTTTTGAAGCAGCTTCCACTGGATCCATTGCTAAATTTTAAATTTATATGATTAATTTTCAAAACTTTTTAAGAATAATAATTAGAATAAATAATAAACATACGTAAAACAGTGAGTTTGCATTTTGTAGCGGCTGTTCCTAAAGAATTTGTTGCTCTGCATACATAATCACCATCGTCTTCTGGGAACACTTCACCAATACTAAGCATAGCCACATTATTTTTATACTTTAGATCTATTATATCTGATGAAAATAATTTCTATAAAAGAATACATAAATAATTAGTTTAAATAATACTGTATTTAATTATAATATTATTTAAAACTAAAAATACCTCTCCATTCTTTAACCATTCTACTTGAGGTTCAGGAATACCAGATACTACACATTTTAAAGTTAAAGATTCACCATCTTTAATTTTAGTGTCTTTCAATTGTTCTTTAAAGGATGGTGCAGTCATTTCAACATCATCTGGTACTAAATCAAAATTTGATAAACGTTTCAATTATATAAAATAATAATATTTTAGTAAATTGTTAATATTAATGTTACATACTTTCTAATTCTTTAGTAGCAGTTCTTGATCTCTGAGGACTTGATGGTTCTTTTTTAGAAGCTCCATATGGTTTTTGTGTTCTTTTAGTTGGAGTTTCTGGCCGAAGAGAGGTTCCGTAGGATCGTGCAGGAGAGGATCTCATAGCTCTAGAAGGAGAGTCTAACCTTAAACTTCTTGCAGGTGATGCTCTTGGAGATGGAGTATATCTTGTACTAAGATAGTCAGATCTACTAGAAATCTTAGTAGAACTATAAGATTGAGAGGATATTTTAGTTGATGAGTATGCAGATGAATAGCTAGACTGTTTGTGAGAAACATAGTCACTAGTGTGACTATATGCATGTGAAGAAGAATAATCTCGACTGTAAGTATCATAGGCATAAGGAGATGGTCTAGGTGAAGGAGATGGCGGAATGGGGCTGACAACAACTGGAGATTTTAAAGATGGTGGTCCTCGCCGATCTAAATAAAAATGGAATAATGTAATATAAATATGCTGTAATAAATTTAATAGTATTGTAAAGTCAGTTTAATTAACTTTGATTACAATTATGAAATCACCAGTGGAGATCCATATAGGACAGAGGAAACAATAATTTTGTACTGGCAATTTGTTCCTCTCCCAATGTATTTTTATTTTGAAAGCAATGAACATTATGATTAATATGAACATCTCCATACCATCCTTGCATTTCCAGCAAACACATTTATTAAGAACACACATGTTTTTGGTACGTTTCATAAACCTGCATTAGGTTTCCAATCTAGTTTCAATTTGATAATGTTCAAAATTGGAATGTTACTCAATAAGTAATGCTATTTAATTTTTTACAATATAGAACATCCCATATTTCTCATGCATTTGTATGAGAAATATGCATTTTTACCATAAGAATTGGTAATATTTTCCTTAATGTTTTTGATATCTTGTAGAAATAATAATCACAAATGCATGAGAAATATGGGATGTTCTGTGGTGTGACGAGTTAATGAGAACCACATTATATAATGTGAAATAGGTTTTTTCTTTCAAGAAAAAGAACACAACTCCAATTTTTGATAAAACCAAAAAGAAAAGGAAACTCAAAGTAAACGTCTTCTAAATATTAACACTGTAGTGAGTAATAAACCGTCACAAACAAACGAATACAACACTTATAAAAAAAAAAGGTTTTTTTTTGTGATGGTTTAGAAAAAAGGAAACTTTAATTAAAGCCCCCCAAAAAAAATAAAATAAAATAAACTACAGGTTGTTTTAGGATGCCAGTAGATTTCTATTCTGACAGATGGAAATAATCGTACAACCGAATAATACTATACATTCAACATCTTGGCTTACACTACACAACCAGGGAGGATTACTAAAACTAATCTTACACTAATATTAAACTATCACGAGTACAACTAACAAAAAGAAATTAAAACTAATATTAAGCTAAAGTAGGAGAATAAGGGACAGGAAAGGAAGTGTAGGAAATTGGAAAGAGGTACCCAGTATTGGTCTTTGAGGTCTTCGAAATTGGTCTCTTTTATAATGTCCTTAGCGAGGGTCATACAAAAATAAAAAAGGGAATTCTTTCTCTCCTAGTTCAATCACTTTTCAGCGATTTGGATTCAATAGTTCACAGTCAAATATCCTGAATCTATCACAAATATCCTTAGTCCATCTCTGAAACTCTTTGTCCCTTCTGTACGCTGCCAAAAATGCACCAGAAACTTGTCTCATCACCTTCTCACTTTCCGAATTCCATCTACCCTCTCCTTTCGTATCCATCCCCTAAGGGGTTGCACACCCTTTCTTTGTTCTAGGGGATTTTTTATGACAAAATAAGGAAAAGAATTTCGAAAAGGAACATTCCAGAGAAGAAAAACAATAGAACAAAGAAAAAGGAAGGGAAGAATAGAACATGGAAGTAATAATAAAACTATAAAATAAAAATAAAATATATATACAAATGTATGGCGTACAGCCACAATAAATAATACACTATGGATTATCACGTATTTCAAATATACAATAATGGTATCTATTTATTTCCAGTCAACTTAAATTACAGATCTCAAAACCATCCATAATATTCTACATTACCTTTTTAAAATACAGAATTTTAACCGTTTATTTCTCCTCATTAACAATGTTTGACGTATAGATCTAATTACATGTGCGAGTCCCGAAACTGGCCAGTTCACAATCTGTTTGAATCGTCTTATGTTGCTAATTAAAATTAACTTAAATTAAACTAAAACTAATGTTACTTAGGTTAGAGAAAGAAGATAGGAAGATTATGTTAGAAGGGGATCACTTTTCTTTGTCTAGTGAGTTGGGCAATTTGCGATGTCTATCACAGTTAATTGAGAGGATACAACCTGACCATGTGGACACCTTTCAATGAGATGAAATATCCATCTACAAATCTTCCTTTATATCTCGATAGTACCAGTTCTTTAACACAACTTCTCTGAATCTCTGTTGACTGAGTCTCCCTTGGGTTCCTTCCTCGTCGCCCTGCATCTCACTCCTTACCCCTTTCTTTTTCGACCCTCTCCCAACAAAAATCCTCTTACTCTATGACATAGGTTAAAAACCCCTTCAAGCCCAAAACTTGTCAGAAAATGCACATAGGTTGGGAGAGTTGAACAAGGAAAAATAGTGCGGGTTAATTATGTAGATAAAGAAATTACGGATAACTTAAAAGATTAATAAGATATATACATGATGGGATACACCACAGTTCTATATTGTAAAAAATTAAATAGCATTACTTATCGAGTAACATTCCAATTTTGAACATTATCAAATTGAAGCTAGATTGGAAACCTAATGCAGGTTTATGAAACATGCCATAAACATTTGTGTTCTTAATAAATGTGTTTGCTGGAAACGTAAGAATGGTGTGGAGATTTTCATATTTTTATTTTATACTATACAACAAAAATTGGAAGTAGAAACAAATACTGTACACAAGAGGTACACCTTATATTTATATATTCATTCAAAACC